GGAACGGGGTTATTGTCGACAACATTACCAAATATAGACACTTGAAAGATATATTTGATATATTTGATATATTTGATATATTTAATATATTTGATATATTTGATATATTTGATATATTTGATATATTTGATATATTTGATATATTTGATATATTTGATATATTTGATATATTTGATATATTTGATATATTTGATATATTTGATATATTTGATATATTTGATATATTTGATATATTTGATATATTTGATATATTTGATATATTTGATATATTTGATATATTTGATATATTTGATATATTTGATATATTTGATATATTTGATATATTTGATATATTTGATATATTTGATATATTTGATATATTTGATATATTTGATAGATTCGATAGATTCGATAGATTCGATAGATTCGATAGATTCAATAGATTCGATAGATTTTTTAACAATATTATAAAAATAATGTATCGCTTTTCTGAAATCCTTTTAACGTTTCAAATTTCATTGTCACATTCAATAATTTGAATTGATTAGAAGCACACAAAATTCTCAAATTATTAATAACTTTCTGACAGACATTGAGTTAATCTTATTTACGAGTTTACGAAACGACGTGCGTTTATTCGATCTGCCGTAATCTGCTTATCATTGATCCAGTCGCTATGCATTAAATGAATTCGGATTAGCTAGACACTAAGTACGTAGACATTGTGCATTGCAAGTACGCCAAGCGAAACCTTGGCATTGAAACTGAACGTGTCCGCAGACGGCAACGCTCGTAAAATGATCCATATTACATAATGCTATCTCGAAATCTGGAACGGATCGAGAGACAAATATCATCGTAGTAACATAGGGTTTCGTAACTCATAATTGCAATTGTAAATTCTGCACGTCACGTTTCTATGTTGCCAAACGTGATTTTATGTCCCGTGCTAGAACCGACCTTGCAGCTGCTAAAAGTCCTTGACATTGAATGTTACGGAGGTTGACCAGCTCGATGCAGCTCTTGGAATCATTTTTTGCAAAAATAATCTGTTTATTCGGCCGGCTAACTCATTCGAATGTTGAAAAAAAGGAAACATGTCAGTGCTACACTGGTAAAATATTGAAATGACTGCGATTTGCAATTTGCAGGTACATAAATTATGCACTTCTGTGCTTCTTGTTTTGTATTTATTTCAAAGTGATTCTTGTAATTGGGATTTCTTACTATTGTACATATATAGCAATTAATCGCAAAGAAAATTTATTCCGAAACCTAAAACCATTTTACATATTGTAGAGGTTGTTATAAATATTATTCACGAATAGTGTGACACATTTTTAGTCTTCTATGTATAATATTTTTATATTTACGTATAGGTTTTTAAACCTATTGTCATTAATTTGAAACGCGCTATGCACAGCAGGTAAAGTTAATTTTACATCGATTCGTAGATTTAAATGCTTCAAATGACAAGAAAATGATTCTAGATTTTTACCATGCAGACGAATTGAATAAATATTTATCTGGTATGTTTCATTTGAAACAAATGAACTAGTTTAATGCAACATTACTATACAGAGCGTTCCATTTAAGTTGAGATTGCAAAAAGTCTCGTAGACTTGTGATTTGAAAAGGAACAAATTGATACATGTCCTTTAGTACTTCGAGTGAGGAGTCAACAACAAATGCAATGCAAACAAAAGATGTGCATTTTCTCACGTAGTAAATAATCTTGAAAACACCCACGCATTAAAGAACTGGTACTACCATTCGACTCGAAATACTAAAGGACATGTGTCAGTTCGTTTCTTTTTATATCACGCGTCTGCGAGATATTTTACAATCTCCACTTAAATGGAACACCCTATATAATAGAACCCCTGGAAGTTGAATGATTTTGCAACAGTACATTATTTTTTTTGTACTAACATCACACTGTGAAGTATGTAATTGCATCGTGTACGTTGAATACGAATTCATTCTCATGAATATGAATGCATTTCGTTTATGAAACAGCTAGTGACGTTTCAAAGACTTGATTTCGCAACTAGATGCGAATCTTTGGTCTAATCGACTGTCCAAATAATGCGTATCATACATGCGATAATGATTCCAAGTTGTGGAAAAACCAGTTTCGTGCATTCGTAACTATGCGTGTTACGTGTGTACATTAAGGAAAATCGATAATCATAGAACAAGTGCATAATTTACAGTCAAAGAACTATCGATGGCGCGAATTAATCGTGGAAACAAAGATTAATTCAATTTCGTGTATCATTTACGTTTATGCAACGTTTCATATGTGCCGAAATGATTCTGTGAAAATGTCGGCTATCATTTATTGATACGTAACAGTATTCATCACTGATTTTCACCCCTTGTCGTACTTCGACGAGTCTGACACGTGATTTCGTTCTTTTTAGACTGAATAAAATTCTGACTCTGAAATCAGAGACTGAATAAAATTGATACTGAATAAAATTCTGATTTCCTCTCGTCAATATTTAAACATTTCAGTAAATGTAGACACGCGGTGCATATTAATTACCTTCTTCCTTCTTAGGAATTATTGCAATCGAGAAACTTCTAATCATTGTAACTATAAAGAAAATTGTACGGCAATGGGTTAATCGAACGTTCCAAGCGACAAGATAGCAGCGTTTCGATGATTAGTTAAAGAATTAATGACAATTAATATTAGCGGAGAGGCGCAATGAAACGCATCAATTTATTAATGTCAGGCGAAGCCTTGTGCTGGAAAATAGTTGTGGTTAAGCGGCAGGGAAGCGTGTTGGCATGGTTGGAAGTGAAAGCGTACACAATGCGAACATTAAATCACCTGCATTGTCCTTCAAGGTGTAGCTTTGCATTCATTTCTTTTCCACGATGATTGAAACGAAACATTAAACACGCAAACGACCATTAAGCCACTGGGAGATTTATTGTTTCCTTCCTAAAACAGTGGCTCCTTTTTAAGGCAACTAATTTGAACTCCCCGAATGACCGCGACAAAGATCTCGAGCAAGAATATTAGTCACGATATCGATCATTATTTATTATTTATTATTATTATTATTATTATTATTTACATAATCTTTCCATTCAAATTTCTTTTATTCACGAAGATTCCTAAATGTAATATGTGCTCTAAGAAATTCATCATGAATCATTGACTTGGTGGAACTTCACTGTGTTCAAAAATTGAAAGAAACCAGAGCATCGATTTAGTATTCAAGCTTTTATGATTTTTATCAGGTATTCGGCTACTGTCCAATGATACCATTTAGGCCAGTTGTCGAGCCTAAGCATCCAGGTGCATTTCTGACGGAAGACCCTGCAATCTCGTCGAGAAATGGTCGCCTGATGGACATACCATGGATGACAGGTGTTACGTCCGAAGAAGGATCGCTTGTCGTACCAGGTACTACGATTAACCGATTATCGCATTACTAGACTGCGGATTTTATGCAATTATGGCAAAACGGATAATCGAAATACACAGCAACGAAGACGACAGAAAAGTTTTAGAATTCTGTTACATTGTTTCCGATCTATTAAAAATATTAAAAGTGGAAACATATCTTTATTTAATTTTTGTTTCGCAGAATTGATGCAAACAATTTTTAGTTTGCATAAAAATCCACAGTCTGCGATATTAAGATAGATTCGTATTTAATTATAATATCCTTGTTTAGAGCATCGATTATCGAATGACTTTTCGGAGTAAAGGTAAACAAATTACTAGATCGAATATAGTTTTTATGAAATTATTTGTTTTCCTATTGTAAGATGCATGGTTTGTCGTAGTTGTTTGCGAATGAAGTTTAAAGATTGCTTCCTTGAATTGTTCAATTTTATCATTATTTTTTTCTATTGAGTCACAATAAAAAAGTAGTAGCGCGTAGTAGTAGTAGTAGTAGTAGTAGTAGTAGTAGTAGTAGTAGTAGTAGTATTTTTAATGTGATACAAAGCAGTTATTTGTGTGTGCATAAAATTCGAAGGTTGATTTAGAAAGCGTATTTGTAAAAACGACTTGCTTTGGCCATAACTTTATTGGTCTGTGGTGAACAGTATTTAAATATGAT